CTTTTGAACTTATGAATCTCTAAGTTTTAGATTGATTTCTCAAAATTTAAAAGTTGTGACTTTTTTAAATCTTTCATCGTGCTGTTTTTTGACAGGAATAAGAGGAAATTCTTGTCTGGGCATAATTTTGTAATGGAGAAACCCCACAGGCTTATACAAAGGTAGCATGTGTCCAGAAATGTGCCGTGACCCAGTACCAATGTCATTTTGGACAAGGTTAAGGTCACAGGATGCAAAAGTATTATTATTGTGATAGCAACAATTTTGAAATGGAATATCAGTCAAAACTCATGCCTGAGGTAAAGGTTGTTTGTGACTCAAAGGTGTGTACTGGCCCTAACCCTGGGTAATTTGGACAAACCATGGTCACAGATTTTTAGATAACTTTGGTATGGATAAAAAAATGAGATGATTATGCTAGACTCAAAGGATGCTTGTGTCACTAAAGGTGTTTAACGCTTGCACCATGGTCATTCAGACAAGGTCAAGGTTATGGGATTGAAGTGAACAATTCTTATCCACAGCAGAACTGTTTAATGAAATAACTTGCAAAGATCATATTGCCCTAAAGGTTGATTATGATCAATATGAGGTCATGAAGAAAAAGTCAAGGTCACAGAGTTCAGAGAAGTGTATCAGAAATGCAAAATTCTGTAAGAAGAATTTTATTTTTAGCTGGAGGAGCATCAGTAGGTGATACTTGGTATACAGGTGATTGTGACTAAGAGGTCATCATGATTCTGTGCCATATTGGAGAGTGTATAAACTCTCTGTTACACAACTAAGAAGTTAAATGACATTTTGATACCTGTACTGTGGATTAAATTTTGTACTCAACAAAACCCTTTATCTTGACTAGAGGTATTAACAGTAGGGCTGGGTATTGCCTAGAGGTTTCATATTGCAATATTTCTAACTGTATTGTGATATGTATTGCAATATTTTCAACGAAAATTATAGGTTTCCTCTGAGTCTGTCTGTCCGTCTGTCTGTCCCTCTGTATGTCTGTCAGTCTGTCCCACTTGGTTTTCAGCACTTTTTTTCTAAACGCTTGCAGATATTGAGCTGATTTTTGGTATGTGAGTGTACCGGGTATCTTGAAGTTTGCATTTGGTTCCGCTTCAATGATTTTTGGCAAAATAACGACCTTTTCAATTTTTCAGGGCTTTCCGCAATTTTTTTCTAAACGCTTGCAGATATTGAGCTGATTTTTGGTATGTGACTTTACCTTGATGAGTTATAGATCAACTTTGCACTTCATTCCGCTTCATTGAATTTTGACGGAATTATGGCATTTTCAATTTTTAACGGGAACCAGATTACACTTGCCGGTAGGGGACTAGTATTGCTAATGCAATACTCTCAGAATGCTTATTCATTTTGTTTCACATAAAAAATCTGCATTTATATAGCATGTATATCTTTAATTGAAGGTAAATTCTTGTTTTTTATTTTTTAAGACATTTATGCCATAGTTGACCAACTGTCTGATCACCTGACTATGTGTGAGTCAGTTAGTCCTTCACAGATCATATCCAGCACAAATTTTGGAATAAATCTTGACTTCTGCTCATCTTTACTTTTGACCCAAGCTTTATAATTGACAGTCTTAGTATGCTGTTAGCTATGACTTTAAAATATGTCACGATCCTTATTGTCATATGAAAACGAAGGTCAAAGTCATTTGACATTGACGTGCTGAAACTATAGGTACAAGCTTTAAGCTTTGAAATCAGGGCTCTCACACCACTTTTTGGGACTGGGGTCGGGGCCGTAAAAATTGGGAAAATTAATTGAGTAATTTTGGGAAAAGCATAACTAGACATTATACGTTAAATTCATGATATACATGTATTGAGTTTCTGGCGGTTGTTATCAACTTAATTTCTGTTTTGTAATGCAGAGAAATATGAATCACAAGTTTAGTAGCTATATATCTTACTAAATGTTCTTTAATATTTGGGCAGATTGACAGATTGGGAAAATTAACACATTCAATTGGGAAAAAAGGTGCCTTTTTGAATTGGGAATGGGGCCTATGAACGGCCCCAAATATAGAGAATTGAGAGCCCTAGGCCTAGAAATTGATTGTCTCAGTGAATGTAAATACCATATGGTTTATTACCCATGATCCAAAGGAAGGTCATGACCTTGAGATAGGTCATGCTGAAACCATTTAACAAGTCTATAAAAATCTTATCAAGTAATACAATAATTTTGTAACTAATGATGAAAGGTTTTCCAAGCCTTTTGGAAATATAACTTCTTGAATCTAGGACATATCTATAAGATCAATTAGTGATGATCAAGAATAGGGTGAAGGGAAGAGAAAAACAAGTTTTTGTTTAAAAATTAAGTCATTGACCCTTTGATTGGAGAGACAACTTACTATATATGACCATTATTCCTTCAGAAAATTGTAAACTAAAAGGTTATTTTCTGTCCAATTTTACCCTGCAAGGTATGCTGAAATTAAGTGCATTTGAATAATTAATTTCTTTTAGGAAATCATTAGCATTTCAGCAAAATTTTATCTGACTGAACATATGGATGATGACCCTTAATTAATAGATACATTGTACATGAGTTATGAACTGACCTAGCTGACAACCCCCAGTTTATTTATATAGGTTAAACCCAGTAGGTTCAGTAAGGTTTTATTGGGTGAGTTCTGCGGTTTTAAGATTGGCGTGATGATCAGGTGTGAAGATCTCATTTTTCTGCGTGAACAACTAGGACGTGTGGCTAAGACCCATAGGTGAATGGTCTCACTCCTACAGTCGTTATATAGTGGTGCGTAGAGAAAGTACATCCTGATAGCTAATATTGCTGAACCCACACATGGCAATAGATTCTTTTATAATAATCACATGAAAATTATATTGTCATGGTTTTGTTAGAAATTATTATAAAAAGTTATTTGTGATCATTTTTAGATATTTGTTTTCTCTTGTTTTACTAAAGAGGAAGATGATTTGACATTGTAAAACTTGTTCTTGGTAGGTAATGATTACTTAAGAAACAATCTGTTGCTAGTTATTTTCGTCATTTGGTTACCAATGGCTGTGATATGATTGGATGGTGTCATAATAAACATTTAAGTATTTGACATAATTTACATAATTACATTGTAGTTTCACTTTTCCTGTCTTTGTACTATAATTGTTATATGTACGTGCATGTTTAAGCATTTCATTGGATAAAAAGCACTTGAATAAGCACATAGGTGCATCGAATATTTTTTGATGCCCTCATTTTGATAAAGTGATGCAAACCGCTTGCACCAGTAGGATGGTGGGTTGACCAATTGATATCGAGAACCTGTCAAACTTTAGTAAACAAATTGACCTCTATTGATTTTCAGAATAATTTTAAAGGTCTCCAGGTTTTCTGCTAGATGAATATAAATTTAATGTGGTCAAAAAAGTGGTGTTGGGGGAACTATTTTATAAGTGTCACCTAAGTGCTAGCACTAATCAAATCAATAACCTTGACATTAAACAATACATGATCTATTTTAAAGTGGCTTATCCTAATGTCAAAGAATGAGAGGACTTGAGAGTCCTGAAAAAAAAAGCCATAAATTGAAGTTTTACAAAATGTTTTATTATTTCTTTCCATGATATAAATCATTGATATCTTAACTGTGTATTCTTAATTGATACATATATGAATTTAAATGGCTCTTTTCAAGAAAAACCAAATAAATATCGAAGGCATGGAACCTGAAGAAATTCAATAGATAATCAGGGGCAGGCTTTTTTTCTCGTCTTAATACATAGCGCACGTTTGTAGGAAATTGTAGTTGTATATTGAACAAAATAATTTTATATTAAAGTCATATTAAAAAGAGATAAGCCGACAAACATGCACTCAAACTTACTATGAGAAAAAACATTAAAAACGAACTTGTTGCTTCCACTGTTATGACTGTGTTAACCTTGCAGATTTGACCTCGATTAATCTGTTGAATATTGCAATTCATCACGTGTTGTCCAGTTGCCAGTGAACGTGAAAAGTTATTCTAAAATGCAACCTCGATCTAAATCAGGCCTGAAAGCGTGTTTGATTGGTCTGTCATTTGCAGAATTAATTGAGCAGATTAAATCTGTTGTTATAATTTTGCATGTCCTCACAATTATAAATTTACCAGAGAAATCTTTAATTTCATATTAACTTCACTATCACTGCCATACACATATTCAAATTTCTAGAGAGAGAGAAGGAGAGAGATGCTGATCAATAGCCCTGCCTCTTATTAATATTGAGTAGATGACCTAAAAACCACTTCAGGTAGATGTTAAATTCTGGACAGTGACATTAATGTATCATTAATGATTCATGACACTAAGGCATTGCTTTTGTACAAATGTTCTACCTGATATAATCACGTACAGTTGACCTTTGGTACTGTGTTTATGAATTCCAACATCTTGAATACCATGGAGAAGTTGAGTTGACTTGGAAGTCCCAACCACTTACCTGGGTATTCTTTAAGAATTTTACCCTCGATATCTTGAATTCTCCGATATTTCGAAGTTTTTTTTGGTTCCATCGAGATAACGAGGTTTGGCTGTATATGTGTAGATCTTTGATATTGCGTGTAAAATATTTTTGGATTCATTTCATTTACAGCTTGTTAGAGGAATTACAAAAAGACCCAAAATAGTGTCTTAAGTCCATACACTCATACTTTAAAGCTTTGCTCTATTTCAGAACGTCAGCAAAATCTTAAAAATACCCTTAAACAGTTTCCCTTTATGTAGTTTCAAGAGACTAATTCATGTAACCAATGTGGGCAGATATGGTGTTTAAATTGTTTTGATAAATACTAACATTTAGGTGATTTTCTCCTCCCTTTTGGGGTGAAGTGTTTTTGCTCTTAAAAGAAGATAATGATTTTTATAGCTTAATCCAAATACAGATTTTTCATGAAAGTTAATTGCTTTTCAGTGCATTGAGGGAAAATCTCTCATTCTCAGAATCTGTTCTCTTGAAAGGGTCATGGTTGGTGTGGAAATGGCAACAGATGTACCAGGTCACATGACATTGATCTGATTCTAGATCTGGACCAGCTTGTTCAGACCAAAAAGAGTCGTAAGCGAAAACGAAGAATTCACAACCAACAGCAAGAAAATGGAGACAACAGTGATGAAAAGATGGGATCAGTCGGGAACCAGTTTACAAAGGATCAGTTTGAAGAATTCATTGTGAGCCGACATGAAAATCGAGAGATTTGTAAGGCAGGATGTCATAGAGCAGGTTTTGATTCATTTATGACTGGATTTTCATTTGCTGTGTATATCTCCAAATACGGAAACTATAATGATAGTTTTTGTCTTGATAATTGTGGAATGGAGGCATTTAAGAACAATGTGTACTTAAGTGGGAAAGATATGCCTTTGTCTATCGTGAAAAGTGCTTTTTCGAAAACCTCAAAAGATCATAAAGAGAAAATCAAAAGGATCTCAGAAAATGGAGATAACTCATAGATATGATGACCAATTAACAACCAGTGAAAAACAAATAAACCAGGTCACTGACTTAACTCATAGATATGATGACCAATTAACAACCAGTGAAAAACAAATAAACCAGGTCACTGACTTATGTGATGTTTTCCTTGCTTAGATCTATACAGGAAATTTCAACTCTCCTTTAGTATGATTTAGCCTATGTACTTGTACATTGTAGGTGTATCGCAAACTCTGATAGATTGGGATGATCAGGTCAAGCCTATATATTTATGACTGATCATAAGATGTATCTAGATGTACATGTATCTAGATATACATTGTCAGATAAATATATGTACTCATAAAATTTTGCTACAGCACCTGTCAAATAGACAACAATTATTGAAAGATACAGAAAAGTAATCTTAAGCTTCATTTATAAATGTTAAAGGTAAAATTATCATGCAACTATGGGCCATTCATTTTTTATGCACAAGTATTTTCTATTAAACAGAAGATTGAGAGAGAACAAGGGTGTCACAAAAAGGGCAGTTGAGGTGACAGCCACTGACCCAATATTTTTTTCAACAAAAAAAAAATATCAAAAAACATAAAAAAATTAAGAAGTTATAACAGTGATGTGTGTTTATTGGAGATGTACATCTAGATAAGCAGGGGGGTCAACATTAAGATGTTGACATATCTAAGTTTTTGCAAATTATTTATAAAGGAAGCACCACTAGGACTGACCACAGACATTGACATATCCCAGGTTGTCGACATTTACGATGTTGAGATACCGAAGAATAAACATTTTCATTTTAAATTTTATGAGTGTTCTTTTGGCAAGAAAGTCATACGATATGTAAATTAAAAAAAAAAACACATAAAATACAACTTTTATTTTATCATAAAAGTTTTTTTTTTTTTTTATCAGATTGATAACAAAAAAGAAATAATATCAAAATGCTGGTGAAATTCAATCAGATATAAGCCCCCTTCCTCCTTCCCACTCAAATTGACCTACCCAGTGTTAATATACAGTTAAAGTATATCATTGAGGGAGTTAGCAAGATTCCAGTTCCCCAAGGCCAGGACTATTTCCCGAGGTGAAGCCGAGGGAAATAGTCCTGGTCGAGGGGAACTGGAATCTTGCTGACTCCTGCAATGATTTACCTTTAACTGTTTTATTATACCGATACAAACATAAAATTTAGAAGAAGCAGATAGCGTGATTTTATGGAACTAACACACGGGGATTAGACCATTCACATACCAATGTAAAAGTAAAATCTAGAGGATTACGAATAACCGGGAATTAGCTTTTGGTGCGGGGGTTAGCTCACTTGACTAACGCACAGGGATTAATCCATTTATAACGATTTCTAGGGAATAAGTCACATATAACGATCTAATGTTATATAGGGAAAAAATCAGTAGAGGTATAATAAATACCTTCCAACACCACTGAAGAAAGTGGTATCAATCCATTTAAATTTGTATTACCAATAAAGCTTTGTTTTCTCTATGTATTCAGAGTTTTGGAATTCCATTCTTTCCCGTTTAGTTTTTCATGTATTCATTTAGTTTGCTACATAATTCCCACCAGCTAACTATCAGCGTGTCACATGCATATAAATGTACTTCTGATATTCATTTGTACTGTTGTAAAGATAGGGAATGTGAATGGGTAGTTTCTTTGATGTGTAAATTTCTTCTTCCTTTTTTTTTTTTAATCTATTTATATATTTACCTGGTATTTATTTTTATTTCAAACTGCCAAATTTAGAGGAAAAAATTGACCTACAAAATTGATCTGTTATAAGCAGGGACCTGTTATAAGTATCTAGTACATGGATGATCCAATGACTTGGTACTGTAGTTTGATGCAGGCTACTCTGTGGCACTAAATCGGGTCAGTAATTACATTATATATAGTACAAGTAATTTATACACCTCTTTTTTCACTGAAATGCTTTTTTTATATTCATTTTCCTTCAAAAGAAAGAAAATAACAATTGTATTGAAATTATTATTTTGATATAATTAGTAATCAATTGAAAGGAAAGAAAATTCGGGAAATCAAACAGAAAAGGAAGTGGATTTTGCTTTTTAAAAAAAAGCCATGAACAAAAAGCTTTATACAGTATTTCAGTGTGGGGTGACTGATACTAGCAGTGCGTCATTACCAAGAAAGATTTCACAGTGAATGGAACCAGTACTAACGAAAAAAAAAATCACTCATCAAAGGTGAATCATGTTACGCTCAATCAACAGCTGTAGGTTTTCTGTTGTCAAGTGGGCCCTAGGGCTGTTGTAAGGAGTCCTTGATTGACAACTTCAGTATTCAGGCCACACTAACATGGTGATCTCCCTCTCCCACTCGGTAAATGAAAGCCCCCCAATAACCTAACAAGTATGTCAAGGTTTCCCCTCTTCACACTTTAGACAATCTGAACAATGGTTTTTAGCCTTCCCAAATTATTGGAACTAGAATTTTTTTGAAAAATGTTTTTTGTTGCCTTGGCTAGGGAAGATGTCTTTAAACACCCTCTTTCATTAGAGTCATATGAGAATTGAAACTTGAGAAGGTAATTTTTCAAGAAAGAGCCAGTTTGACATTTAAGTAGCTGCATGTAACAAAATGTGAGAATATGTGGGGTTTGTCGTTTTTTATTTTGTCTTGTCATTGTAGATTGATAGCCTGGTAAGGAGGAATTATCCAGTTAAAATCACACTCATCATTCAACATCCTGATCTCGCATGGTTCTAATGGAGTATCATGCACTCTACTTTGAAATCTCTATTGACTTGTAACAGTTAGGATCACATTTGGTTACTCGGTCTTATCAGAAGAAACGTCATTTCAGTTATTTCCATGTCTTAGAAAAGCTGTTTTGACATTTAGAGACACTGGCATTGATTTCCATCAAAGAAATCTGTGTTTTATCTATGCTAATGACTTCTAAAGGGCAACTGTACATAAATTTACTATAGACATGATTACGATATAGATCCTGGAAGTGCACATGGTTTGATAACGTTGTAAATCATTGTTAGGCTGTAATGGGTAATATCTATGAGGTAGGAGGACCTTCCAATATGAGGGACTGTTATAATCCGAGGGTTCATTTAGTTCACTTCATTGTTGACGAGAGACATTTTTTTTACCAGTACAAAAGCAATATTTTTTCCCCATCAAATTACGTTTTTCATGTTTGTAGAAAAGCATTTCAAAAGAAAAACATGAATAAGGTTATCAAGTGCAGTCAATATGCCTTACATGTATTATAAATGTTGATGTGAATAACACATACCTATCAATTGTTGTATTTTTACCAGTCCTTAGACATTTATAGCTTTTAATCACGTTAGATTGAGAGCATTTAATTATCCACCATCTAATTATATTAATTTTTATGCTTTAAATTTCTCAGTTTCAAATTCTTTCCTTTTTTTTTTAGTTATAAACGTCAGTAATCAATACTTATAAGGATACCTGATTCCTACTTCTTTAATAAATCACAGACAATCAAGAAAAGGATGGCTGTTTAGATAGTTATTTATCGTTGTTTTGTTCCTGAAGGTATTTATTTACTTTGATGGAAATACTATGAATGTAGAACATTGGCCTTCTTTCACATGAAACACCAGAAAGAGAGTATTTGTATTCATAACTTTTTTTTTATTTTGTCATCAAAAGAAAAAATATTGGTAGCAAACTGTTATTTTACTAACACCAGATTATGATAACAATCATGAACAAAAAATAATGAATAGATATGGAGGGTAACACTACACAGTCATACATATATTGATATACAAGTATGTATATGAGCCGCCTACAGGATACATGTGGAGGAGTGATTTGATAATCCAATGTCGCGTGAGCCTGCTCAACGGACATTGTAGCAATATAATATTACAATACAAAAAAACATCCTCCATGCAAAATCAACAATCCATGCAAAATTAAATGTCATTTAAGTAATCACTAAGGTCAGTAAGTAATATTATACAAGTTCAATCCATAAGAAAAAAAAAATCATGGAATTTCAATTACTTATATAAAGGTTTGATGTTCAGAGGTGATAGGAACACAAGTCATTTTAATCTGTTGATATTAAGTGGTGAATTATGATACCAGGTCATTGCTACAAGAAGTAACAGGCAATACCTGGAACACTTATAGTCTAGATAAAATCGCCTGATTTTCTGACAATTTCAAACAAGGAAGTCGATGTTTAGGCAAACATTTATGTCTGTGGGTCACAGATTTAAAAAAAAAAATCTCTATGACGTGTAGTCTTTTATTAAAATGAACCAATACAGGCACGTTTATCTGTTCATTGCCCCATAAAAATTCAGTTATTTTATAATGGCATAAGAACCATATTTAAACATCTGAAAATAGTTACTTAATTAGCATATTGTCTACCTGAATAGTTTAAAATGAAGACTGCATGGTGCTCTACGTAATAAGTTTATATACAGGAGACAACTATTTATGTGTGCGTCATAGCAGCTATAGACTAAATCTCGTTTAAAAAAACGTACATGAGATCAACAAAAAATGTCAAATTATTTCTTTCAAAACAAGTTTAAGGGAGTAATAAATATATAGCACTAAATGTACAAACTGAAAAAAAATGAAAATAAAGAAATATGTGCCCTATGGAGTCATTTAGTATTTTTTTCTAAAATAAATAGATAAATATGAAAAATATCGAATCCTTCTCCCTGCTACTCTTCAAGATTTACAAGGTAAAACTCTCCATAGATTATTGCATCAAGAATTTCTCTGATAAATTTGTGTACAATCTCATTAGTTAATACTGAGAAGAGGTTAAATACCTTTACTCTGCAGTTTTTGTGTTTGGCATTCCTGAGCAACGATTTAATAATGCAACTGAAATTTTAAATTTTGGAATTTTTCTTCTTTTTTTTTTTTCATTTGAGGAAATATGGGGAGAAAAAAAGATGAGTCACTCAACAACAATAATCTACTTTGATATGAAGTTTTTGACCTGTATGGAGCCTGAGAAAGGAGTATGTCATGACCTTCAATGACCTTATCATGTACACAAAGGTAAGAAAATAAGCAAAAAACACAACGGAATCAAAGTGAGGAACAATTACTGATATATACTGGCCACAAAAGACAACAATTTTAGGCTTTATAGACAATATGCCTCTACAAAGTGCACACAAAATCCACTACAAGATTATCTATAGATCAAGTATGTTAACTTGTTCCAAGACTGTGTTCTCTAGATAATGAACATGCAGTTGTTCATGACAATGAACCCCTGTTATTATGGGCCTGCATTTTGTTCACAACACCAATTGACTAGCATTTTATTTGTTACATATATCTCCAGCCCTTATAACATATCTAACAACTTGGCCCGATCAATCACATTATCAACAAAAAATACATAATGCTTTAGTGGTAAATGCATATTTGTATCATATCAGCAGTCATATCCAATGCTTCAACAATGGCCAAAGTTGAACAATGTAACATATTTATAAATGCCTTTTCTGTAGTACCAGTGGTTTCTAAAACCACCACAACAGAAAGCTCCCTAAAAACTAACAAACAGATATGTCAGCTTTATGGGGAAAACTGACCCAAAGTCTCAGAGACAATGTGCTCAGACTGCTACAGTTTCTTCTGTCAGATTTTTGTAAGAATCCTGGGGGACCTGGTTTTCAGAATTCAGACAATCTGAACTGGTGTCGGATTTAAAGCTACGATCCTGCTTCCGTGGCCATTGATAAGGAGCCTGTGAGGTTCGTCTGTTTTTTCTGCGCTGTTTTTTCTCTGCCATCATCATTTTAAGATGTCTGACTTTACTGCGGATATTGGCATTGTCCACTTCGTCTGTACAGTTGGGATTATGAGCTCGTCTTTCTGTAAAACAAACCACCCACACATTTTATTACTCAGTATCGATCACAATGACTAAGATGTATTGATTCCTGACTATTACTACATGCTGTGTAGAGACACGTTTAACAAGTATCCCACAAATGTCGGGAAATCTAAATTATTGTCTTTGTTCTGTGGTTATCATATGTTCTTATACCTGGTCAAAATTATAATTGTATGTGATTCACCTATGTCCAGGTGTGCACTAACACCTACAGATTTCCTGAGTTTTACGATGCTAAATGAATTTATAATTGCAACGTACTTAAGTGTAGTGGAAAAAAGTCGTGATAAAGATTTCATCATCCTACTACTGAATTCAGTTCTCGAAATTCTGACTATTTTTAGTAGGTTAATATGCATGATTTGACAGCCTTTCTCCTAAAGTACACTGTACAGGTCACTGCACTCTGTTTAAGAATTCAAAAGTGCATTTCAAAATCCCTTTACAAATGCATATACTTTTTTGTAAGCCTATTTGGTATTTCAAAGTTTTCATTAGATAGATATTTCAATAATTTCTTTTTTTATTTTTTTCATACTAGGAAAATGGTGGAAAAGATGTTAAAATGTAAATCCTTGTTTGATTGATCAATGTTTGTATCTTGGCTACTTCATCTGTAGTTTCTTGGTAAACAAAATACTCTAATTTGTTACTTAACATCTAACTAATATTCCAGCAAAGTGCTGAGTCATTTTTACAGTTTTCTTGCTAAAACAAGTACATTTTACACTTTAATTGCCTTAGTTATGAATAGGACTAAAAGTAATTTAAAAGAGTCTTCCTCTCTAGAAAATATAGATGACCCTTTACATATATTTAATAGATTCCAGTACTTGATCTTAACTTTTGTGCATTTTTTCCTCTAATTACTTGTGTTGATTATGTCACATTTAACTGTTATTTAAGAATCCTACTACTACTCCTTATATGTATTATCAGACACATCCCAAACAAAATTACCTCAATAGAAAGTTAATGTAAAGTTATAATTTCATTAATTCTCACTAAATTGTTTCAGTAAAAAAAAAAATTAAAGTACTGAATTACTTCTATGGCTTACTTACTTCTGAAAAGCCCTAATGATACTAGAAACAGATTACTGTTAATTAAAGTGCATAAACTGTGCACTGACCTTTAAATTGTGAATCGGTGGTTGACTGTTGTGGTTGGTGAAGAAATGAGTGTGGTTTGTAATGGGGGACTGCACTAAGGAGGTCATTCAAAATATGAATGATGGTAGTAAGGTCTCTACGGGGACGGCCTTCCACAGAATAAACTGAGGGGTCAAGAGTCCCTGAAAATAAATGTCAAGATCAAATAAAACATGTAATACTGTCACATCAAACATACTTGTGGTAAGTTGTTTTAGGAGCTTGCAAATGCACTGAATTTCAGTTCAACTCTGATTTGAAGAATTATTCACATACACAGGTTAAAATAAGTGACTTTTTTTTTTACGAAAGGGGGCTTTGTCATAAGAGATGGGGATGAAAGAAGGAAGGATGGATAAGAAGTTTACCTGAGAATGTCCCGGAGTACATGCCCCGACCAAGATTCTCCACACTTTCTATCACAGCTCCTTGACAACCTGAGGTGTTCTCCATTACACCCTGATTAAAGCTAGAGGTTTGGCACTTCTAAAAATAGCAATGAAAATTTATAAAGGTATGTAATCTTATTTTATGTAAGTATATTTATGTTAAATCAAAGGAGTTACTAGTAAGTGATCTATTATACAAGCTAGAGTTGAAATTCCTACTATGGTTATTCACCTTTGCTGCTAGAAATATGAGATTTTCACATGTTTATAAGCATTTATCTGATTTTCACAATTTTTTTAAGTACATGCATTTTCTCGCTTTTCTTTATTATCCCTGACACAGATTCTAAACTTCCTCGATTATAAAAGCTCATTTGACCTAGAAATCGATAGCTAGGCTGATTGAGAAATTGCAGCATCAAACATTTAATTGACATGTGGCAAGTTTGATCAGAGAGAGAGGTTAAAATCGATCGATGATTAGTAATACAGTAAATACTGCTGTGCACCAAGGTGTCCTACAAACAAACAAACACCGTGATCTGCATATTTTTCCTGTGTGGGTTGATTTGGGGAATATTGTGTGTGGGTTTGCCGTATTTTTCCTCAGGCCAGCTTATAATAACAAGATGTTACTGAGACTTGTTGTTTTTCAGATTAACTATGGAATAATTGAAGTTATCTCTTGAATGACATGTATTCCCATTTAAATAATGCATTTATTTATATTTGCAATAAGAAATTAATATGCTCTCCATTCGAGGTGAATCCTGACCTACATGTACATAATTTTTTTGTATAGATATGGCAAACAAATGGTGTGAAAAAATGTCTTACTTTTTCTGAGTCGGGGAAACTCCGGAATTGATGTAAATTATAAGGAATTCCGTTGCTCCCGGTATGTGGTATATAGGTAGGGGAGGGGACGTCTTGATGATCGTGCACGGTCATGTTTTGGGGGGTAGGGAGTTGAACTGGAGAGGGACGGGCTCGCTTGGAACCACTTTGCGTAGAAAGTTGAAGCTGAATAAACATCATGTGGTCTCCCAGTCTCATGGCTAATACCAATGGTGCTCTCCCCGACAGAAACTCGCTTATCTGAAAAAGAGCATACTCTTTTATGGACTGAACTCTCTTATTTGGCAAAGCACGTTTATAGTCATTATGTTATCTACAGCTTCTTGAGATTTCAAAATTTTCTCCCGTCAGCTGTTAAACATTTAAAACTGTTGTGTATGTTTGTTTACTCTGTTTCTTTGTTATTGCTTTTCAGTTTTTATATCATTTTGCAACCAATTTTCATAAATCCCAATTCAGTTGTGTTTTGTTTGATTACAACATCGGAATCGGTAAACGTTGCGCAACTCGGCAGTAGTTCTCGCTGCTCTGTAATCACGAATTACAAAATACACCTTTTTCAACTGATTTATTGCGAAATTAAATCTTGGAATATGACCTTTGTTTTGATATAAAAGGAAATCTTCAGGGAGCTGGAATGATAGTTCTTTTTTTAACACCAAATTTAGACTTCACCTACAGACGGCGTCTCTAACGAGTGAATAAGACACAAACTTAGATTATTATGCAAAGATTTTTAAAGGTCAACAACTTTAATGTCAAATAACAAAAATAGGTTTTTAGAGTGAACCGCATTTTAACACACCATCGAATCGCTGTTCGCTCGATCACGACCTGATGCGTACAATTTATTACAGGGCAAAATTTAAAACGCGCAGATGTTACTTATGTAACTGAGTTTGCTGTGATTGCGCAAATCTGCTGAAATAAGGTTTTCTGTTGATTCTTGAGCATGGGGTGTAATTCGATACTCACCTGTGAATCTGTTAGACTCTCTAAAGCTTGCATAACTCCACTGTCTTTTTTATGAAACTGAAAAATGAGGAGAAATAGTGATTTTTTTTTTTATTAAAATCAATAATCAGTTTTATAAGAGATAAAAGATAAAACCTTTATATTAATTTTTGAAAGTTAGAGTTGAATTTTAGCACATGATCTTTTGTACTTCTAAGGTAGATGATCGAAACTTACAGATAAACCAGTTTCCATGCTTGGTATCAGTGTCAAAGTACTACCGTCTTCAACGTCATAATCTCTCAAAAAACCATGTTTTAGGTGCCTAAAAATAGAATTCAAAAATAATGCATGGATCCAATTACCTTTTTGCAACAGATTCGGTAAGTGGGCTAATGTTCTGGGAGGTTGTAGGGTTAGCGCGTGTCAGGAATTATTTTTGACAGGCAGAAGACAGCACATTCTTTAACTGCCTACTCTAATTTTTTTGCCAGCATTTTCAAGAATCGTCATCTTAATTTGGAAAGATTGTAAATTAGATGAAAACTGCTCGCAAGCAAAACATACTGTACTCGTTAGAAAATTGAATTGCTTGATATATAACTTTGAAAACATGCAATAATACGGTGGAATTTTTCCTTGGAAAAAGAAAAACACAGCCTTTTTAAAAAGCAAATTAATCGGATGATGGGAGTAGTCACTCCATAATTGAGCGATGCAGATTATGGAATGTCAAGTCTTGATTTGGCAAGATTGCAATAAATATCTGGCTGAAAACGGGACCACCGCCCTGCTTAAATGGACCCGATCGTTAATTAAAAAACTGATCAGTGAGCAAACATTTTTTGGTATACTTATTTGAAGGATGAAGGATTGAGGTCGAGGAATCTAGTCAGCGTGCGTCAGAGGAACACGTTACACGAAAATGCAATTCAATTACAGCGCCGTTTTATTTATTGGAGGGACAATCGATAACTTGACAAACTCTGTTATGCCCCGCACGTAATGTGCATTCATTGACTTTTGCTGTACAAGGTTTGAGGATGCATTGACGTCAGAAGCGGGATTAAAGCCGTGTCAGGGATAATTGGCTCAAAGATGTTTTCCCTCTAAACACTTTTGTTCAACAATCTTATCCTTCCCCAATATCTCACTGGACATGAGTCTGTCTATCCCCCATTCTGAGGGAAAGCTATCAATTTCGCTTGTTGCCCTTTTAAGATAGATTCTAAAGCTTCATGTAAGGAGAGTTTTGAATTGTTTGTATGGTTTCTTTATTGAAATGGCCAGTGACCTTTGTCGATCATACACATTTTGCTTTTAGCTTGTGGGCGTCCGGTGCGTGCTGCTAAAAAATCGAGTTTGCAGGCTTCAGTTATTTTGTATGTTCTCGACATTTATGTAGACAACTCTTTTGGCAAGATTGCAGACTTTAATTTTGGTTACTTATGTCAATACATACGTTCGCTTCATTTAATTGAAAAGCAATAAATAATCTAAACAAAAAAAATGCATGATGTATTTTTGGAGAATTTTGAGAGGTGCACACTTGAATGCTTGGTTAGCATGCAAGCTTGATGTAAAGCAAGGACTGACATTTAATGAGCGGCAATCGTGTGGGCGGAATGAAGTCTTTCTTTTTGGAAGCCTGGTCGCTGTTCGACCGATCAGCTGTCCTTCATTTTGAATTTTCTACTCCCATCTCTCCTTCGTATTAAAAAGCCTTTGACCTCAAGTTGTTACAAAGAACACTGTCAGGTGTAGTGCAAGCAGAAAACCCCCAAAAAGTTATGAGGTCGTTAATCTTTCTACCTCTCTTCCGTAAATAAAGGTACGTCAGTTGTGTTGAAGAATGTGCGTAGGAGTCGCATTTTGAAAGCGAAAACATCACTCCTAGTCGACATATTGACTTTTCCTGGTAGTTAAAAATATTAAATCTATACTTCGATATACATACAACTTCCTAATAAACCTTTGCACAACATGAATTCTTTGTGCAATAGCTGCCCAATGCCAAACCTCGTTATTGTCTGAACAGTCGGCTTATCAAGTCTCCCCGGTGTAGATCTTTTTATTTTGCGGTTATTATTTGTTGATCGTTTAAATATGTATGAGACTGCACTTGCGGTTAAAAGTTCAAACCACAATTATGCTTCCAAGCGATCAACAGGCCTGCTTTAGCTATTAAGTTATCTCTCTTCCGTGCATTGAGTTTTGGTAAAAAAGAAAAAAAAATATAGGTTAGTATGTCTATTTGTGAACCACTGTTCAATTATGAAGGACTAAGCAGTGAGAGACCCGGAGATGTGACATTTGGAATAGACGTCACACTGTTGATTAAATGTTTTCCGAAGGCTTTTGTCTGCAATGAGAACTGCAATAATCTCCCACCTAGACAAAGACGCTAGGAACATCAATGCATTAGCTCGCGTACTTTCTATGCAAACAAGATTTTGATATAATTTCATAAATGAATCTCTAGATATTTTACGCTTTTCCAAAGAAGGAAACAATTCATCATTCTGAAAATATTGCACTCTCCTGACAATTTCAGAGAAATAAGCTATTGATCCGCGATTTCTATCGTCATCTGGTTTATCCGTCTTATGCAGGATGGAGATTACATTATCATAGTGTTCATGTACTGTTAAAAACTGTATCCACCAGATACCTTAGTCTCATGAAAATATGTAAAGGAACAGCACAGGCAAGTTTACACTTGAATAATAATCTTTGTTTTAGAGGGATAACTGCTTAATTGAAGCATTTTATCTGATTAATTCAATTTGTCACTGTTTTAAGGGTTTATTGGGAGAGTAAAGTATATTTTTCCATATATGGTAATCATGTACCATCCCGCGCTTCGAGGAGAGGGACCATTTTGACATCAAAATAAGCATATTTGATTAATGCTTTAGGAAAATATTTGACAGTGTAAAGTTGAACGCACTTTGTGTACGACAGATAAAAATGCGATAAACAATTGAAGTTTTAGAATGACGTTTCTATACTTTTTTTTTTTAATCTCAAAAGGACCAGATAGGATCTGTGCTATATTGTGATCAATATATTGTTGAATACTATTATAGTCCGACCAGATCCCTAGCGATCTTCCAGATTCAAAGGTAATTGACTTGGGAGCCATGACCAGAGAAATTGGGTTTGAAGCAAAGTCGATAGAACATGGATCTTCGGACATCAGAAAGATAGCCACCAAGTGGCTAATGACGGAAGGTAAATTGGGACAGGCAATTCGTGAGGAAGTGTGGGCGACTGTGGCGCAACAAAACGCTCCGAATCCTTCTCTAAATAGTAGTTTATCTATTATGCTTCCGGTGACAATCATAGACTATACAGACAGCAAGGTCACTGATAAGGAGAAATTAAGAGAACGGTTTTATTATTGCTGTATCCTGAACACCGAGGTTCAATCAATTAAATCAGTAGTGGTTTCAGTCACAAGGTGCCAGGTATAAGATTTAAATTTCGTAAAAACTCCCCCCATTTTTATAAGGAAGTTGTCAGTTAACAAAGCTACATGTAGCTGATCACCTTCATCAACTCTGTTTAATTGACTAGGGACTCGACCGCCGTGGCTTTGGCAGTTGGTATAGATTATAATTCTACAACCGACTCGGACACGGATCACCTGTTCAGGTTCACGATAGTGCACTGCGTAGGCTTAACTGTGTTGACCTAATGAATATACACTTGACCCACATAATCTCGCTATGTACAGATTATAAACACCTACATAGAACTTCCGCGCCATGTAATTATCTCGCAGCTCCAAATTTTACAGGGGTGTTATATTTAGAATTAGCCTCAGCAAATACTTCCATGTTTTAAAATCTTTGTGGATTTAGCTATTGACATATCTTATTCAGTTATTAGACAAAGGTCACGATTTTGGTTTTGGTCGATTAAGCCTCTGTCATAAAGCATTCTAGAGAACGTGGGTGTAGGGGTACTGTCAAAATCTCGTACAGGGAAAGGATTGATAGGGCTATGTATGTGTAATTAGTTGATATGCAGCTAATAATGCAAGGCGCACGTAAGTTCCCCAACTTTACACCACCTACTAAAAGTGTTGAATTTGCAATGTACGAAAATACAACGTACTTTATGTAGGTGTATTTCATTGTGCTGGTTTAACGTCTCAAACAAAGGACACGAGAGGCAGAAACACAATATAGTATAATGTGCATGTCTTTCAAGCTGAACACTCATTGTAACCTGTACTTTAGGTAATGTCTTTGTCTTCAGAGTCAGGTATACATGGTATAATTCATTGCTATAGTTGATTGGTATCACATGCCATCTTTTTTTGACCTAGTAACTATGCATGCATTTTTTTTTTGTTCTCCCCAAATTTTATGATAAGATGCATTTAATCTACAAAACTTACTTATTCTGATGGAGCAGAGTAATCCGGTCTCTGTGTATATTAAACATCCTGGATAAAGTCCATTGTAGTCCCTGAACAGTTTCATTATGGGGAACCTGAACATCAAAACTCCCCCCTGTTGCAGGTTGAATTAATATTTTATAAGTGTCCATTTTTCTCTGAAAAATTCTGTCACTAAAAATAAAGTTCCGGTCCAATTTTAAGAGTAATAAAATTTGCAGGTTTTTCACAAGAAATTATTATCGCATACCAAACTCTTTGGTGCACACTGATTTGACCTAGTATAATAGTTTCTTGCCTGAGGCAGAAAGAAATTGTCCACAGGACGTGTATACTCCTCAAGTTCTAGTCTTAAACTGTAATATCCTTCATATAAACAAACGTATATAAAGCTGTCTTCCTTCGTAAAAAATGGACTCGCCCGTTACTATCAAACGTGAAAACCGCATTCTCTACGTCAATGAAAGAGTCACGTGCTTCTTTGTTTTTCTCAATGAACACAGTGCTCAGTAGAAATCGATTCAGCTGAGAGCGATGCTGAGTGTCTTTATACTACGGCGAATTCCACCGGACTGTTAAGAGGAGTAGTTGTTCCACGTTTAATTTTCTTGTGGATCAAGTTTCTTTAAGTGTAAAAGAAATGTGAAGGCTGTTAAGAGTTAGACCCTTTAAATAGGATAGGATAAGGGAACGTTTACATTGAAAATACTGATATTGCAACATAGTTGATCAACCCCTTTGATCGACGACACACGCTATAAAGTTTCAAGCCTTATATATACTAAATGGATTCGTTTTTTATTTTTGTATTTCTGAGAAATATGATTTTATTTGTCAAAAGTGTGATTGACATCTATTGTTTATCAAACCAGTCGAGGATAGAAATTCTCTTTCTGTATCAGATAGTAACAGCCTGAGTAAAGAGGCGGAGTCTGGGCAGGAAGCTAATTAATTCATTGGTTACAGATGTGGTGTATAATAAAAAGAGAATTTTTTTTAATATGACTAACCAATCCCTCACAAATATTAACGAATTTCAAACGAAAAGACAATCCTTTAATATAATTGTTACTGGTTTATGAAAAAGTCGTAAAAGCTTTCATCTTTGGAAGAACATCTTGTAAGACTATTGAATGACCTGAGAGATTTTTACCCCTACAAATGTCAATTGTAGGATTGTTTTTATTTGTGGTTACGATGTATGAAGCATAATATAAAAAAAAGCAGCTTCTCATTTTGTTTGATACAAGCACAGATGATTAACAATAAAATATGTATGGTGGTACACTGTGCATTAAAATAAAGGAATCCGATTTTATGTTGTAGAATGTTTCAAAAGTACATGTAGTTTGCTTTGTGCATGGGTCATTCATATGTTTTGATTCAATCAAAAACAAAGCTTGCATTTTAAGTGTCCTGATTACTATGATTTTAATATTTGCTTTACACACTTGATTTATATTATACGAAGCATATGCTTGATATAATGTTTAAAGCATAAAAGAGATCAAGAGAAGTAATAATATACATGTATTTACATACCATGTGATGTCTTTGTTTTAAAAAAAAATCCTTTGAATTAAATTCCAAGTTCACATCCTCAAGACAGCAACTGATGTAAGTAATTATTTTACAGTTAATTACGATTCGGAATCAATTCACATTTAATATATTTTTCAATATGTTCATTTGTTTCATTACTATTATTTATGTTCTTGGTACTGTTTTATATTGTGTTGGGTTAGAGAAGAGTCATCTGATGTCCTCCTTGAACACTAACTATGTTCTTCATGGGGTTTACAGACTTGGAGGCTTGTCTTCTTACTTTGCTGATTAACCAGGATGTGTCAGACTAGAGAGGAGTAAGGTTGTTTGACAAACATTATTTTCAAAGAGATTTTTATGTATAAACATGTTTGATAATTTTCAACCTCTGTAACTATAAACTTTAGTTTATAGCGCCATCATTAGTGCATATACTAAAAGCCTATTTTTATCTAATTAAATACACGAATTTTTGGGGGCATACTCTGTACTTTATTCTAAAATAGTGGCATAACTTTGTGTGACAATTTTGTTTTTATAGATATTGTAGATATTAACACACAGAATCTTGATGGTCGCTGCATCGCTTTGTAAACAGTGCTTTAGAACACTGTAACTATTTGGTTGTTTTTACATGTTGCCGGAAGTTTTTTTTTTTAATCGAGTTTTATCGAGTTTTTTGAAGTTATGTTTTAGCCTTATAAAACAATGCATGTAATTTTTGCTTCCATTTTTTTTAAAGAGAGATAAGATGAAAGCTTTATTTTGTAATTGTCTATACATCCGCAATTATTTTAAAAGTTGTTTCATAAATCGCTAGAGCGGGCTTGAGAGCTGCTTTTGTGGAGACATATTTGATTGAAATAAAACTAAGAAAAGAATGAGCCTTTCAGTATTGTTACTTATCACTGTAGTTACATAAGTTCTAATAAAAAAAACTGTCTTTCTTTTACTTTATTACTCATTATGGTTTATTTTCTGTTTCAAACTTTCTCTTCAGTACTGAAAAATACAATAATGATGTTATGATGATCGGTGTGGGACCTTTTGGAATAGTGACCTTCATTATTTCTGCTAGGATTATCACCTTTTTACTTATGTTTTTGTTTACCACTGGCACAGTATGCATGACCTTTGCCCATTTAATTCACTTCGGAATATATCTAGAAGTTATTGAATACTTTAGTATTTTGATACTTAACACTAAAGATACTATGAAACACTATTCTGTTTTTCTTTTACCCATTCCAACTCCCCGAACGGTAGCAAAAACTCGTATTTAAAGACATGAACGATGATTGACAAAATTAAGTAACATGCCGTGAGTTATTTGTCTTACATGTAGAACTAAGTATTTCATATTTAAATAAACCGTATTTAAATCACTCAAAACGGAGTCCAATCTGATCAAAGAAATATTTTGTATTTGTAAGATCTGGTAGATTGAAATTAAAATTAAAATTAATGATAAAATGTCTAAAAGTATGTCGTAAATATTAATCTGTGACATTTGTCATATGTCTTTAATTGATATTTCTCCCAGTACTAAGGTCTTTCTGATTATGAGCAAAATTTAGCTGAAAATTTTTCGGTGTGAATGGTGTATTTTGTTCTATTTCTATTCAGAATATAGTTGATTATCGAACCTTCTAGAATTGTATATATTTTTTTTTTATTTTCTACATTATGAAAATATTAACTGCCAAGAAATTTTTCAAACAAATTGAAGTAGTTGATATCATATTTCTCTACCAGGATTAATAACGAGCGAACCTGTCTAACCGCAACAAATACATACACCTGTAATTTTCACAATATACAGTTATACACTGTCTGGGAACTCTGTTTTTCAACCTTTTGAGGGTGGGGTTAGGGACAGGGTGTGAGTCTCCACTCAATTCTATTCATTTTTAAATGGAATAGTTAATTAATTTAACCACCCAGAACAGGAAAGGGGAATATTTAGTGATTAATTAATCTAATTTGTGTTCGCCTTGAACAATTTTCCCCTGCTGAGTAAGTGTTAATAGCTGCACCCGTTGTATTATTTCACTTGTTGCAAGGTATCGGTTTAAACGTCTGGCTGCTTATTTGTTACATATCTTACTCTATATTCGATTCTTGGAAATAATGCACCCCCGGTATAACAGCTGTAAAAAAGATCCAATGCTGTTGTCTCTATGTGTTGACAGAAAATAAAATTCTGATTCACTCGGTTTCTGCGAATGCTTACGGAAGAAAAATCACTGAGTTCCCATTGGTTTACAACTTTTGTTGTTAGATAATATAATTAGTTATATACACTATATGTAGATATTGCTCTTTTTGCGATCAAATAGGGCTCTTTTGTTATTTTCAAAATACATGTACATTTTTATGACACTCCCTTATAACCCCCGTATAACTTTGTACAGTTAGAGCCATTTAAATATATGGACATTTTCGTATATTGCTTTTAAATTTGAAATTGATAATTCACACAATGATTGTTCTGACTTTAGATTTTAAATAAACAAACAGCAGTATTTACACCGATTTTGCAAGTGTCTTATACTAATCAGTCCTTTAAAATGTGAATTTTAAAAACCAAACATTATTGCTGTGGAACTTTAAATTTCTGTACAAGTCTTGATCAGATGTAGGAGTTTAGATTAACGATTTGAACATCTATAAATACAAAAATACACTGTAGCTGTTACCAAAATAAGAAATAAAATCGTTAAAGCAGTATGTTTTATAGATAGATACACAAGATAAAGTTGAATTCATTTACTCACAGCATTAATAAAGATAGGTACATATGTTATAAATTCAAAATGTTGAACATACAGTCAGAGGTTAATGGCATATAAAGTGAAAGAATTATGTACTTAAGGTATCGGGTTTTAAGATGTACACTGATTCAGTAACTTTAATTATAAACGTATTAAGTTTTTCCCCAGTGTTTTCTACTTTAAAGTTGAATTAATTTTGAAAATAGTCTATCACAAAATCTCGAGTCTACGTATATTTTTTTAATACTTGAAAAAGCTTTGAATTCCAAATTCAAGTGCATTTCTTCTTCTATTTTTCTTGTATTACAAAAATTGCAACATCTCGGCAACCAGACACTTACGTGTAGGACTACCTGCGTTAGGTGTCTGTATAGCTGGATTAATAATAGCCTGTTGAATTTCACAATTTCGAGACGAAAATCAATGATGAAATCGAATTAATCTTTTGTTCGAATAGAAATTGTTAACCTATTTCTGACAAAGGTAAACTTGAGTAGTGCATGTCGGACATAGGATAAGTGTTGATATTGTGAAATTCTACGAAGGTCATTAGGTCAACAAGATCGTTTACCTTACAAGGCAAACATTGTATACTAGAAAAGGTGAAGAGGAATGCCATATCAAGGGGAATGAAATTGTGAAATGACATCAGGACATTGAACGTTAAAATTTCATTCAAACAGAACGATCATTGTTAGAAACCACAGATCTATTATTGTTAAAAAAAAGTCTAAGAAAAAGAAATGATAATGGAGATGAAGAAATCACACGTTTACATTACCTAAATCAACAGATTTGGTTTACCACAAAAAATATTTGAAGTAATTTAACGAAATTTTGAAAGCCAGATTATATTTCCTAAAAGCTTTACCAAGCATATTTAGCAGGACAGCTGACTGTTAACTCTTTTTTTTTTTTTTGGGGGGGGGGGGGGCTTACCTCCTATTATTATTTTTAAATATATTTTATCTTTAATTTTCAATCTCCAAATAAACATTATTTAAAATAAAAATAACATGTATAAGAATTTAATTAGTACTTTCTCGCGTTTATTTCTTAATCTCCCCGGTTTTTTTCCAGTAAAGAATTAGTCTATGAAAAATTTTGATTAGAACATTAAAAATTGAATGTCTCTAAATGTTCTGAATTTATTGTGTGTAAACTATAGGGAAAAAAACAGAGTGAATCTTATATGTCGTTACAAAGT